TGCATGGGCATATATTAGTTTTTTTCATACAATTTCTGCATTTTTTAATATTTTAATTAATTTATCCCAGCATTTTATTTATAAAACAATCATTGATTGCATCACAAAATAATTTTATAATAATTTTTATGGCTTAATTTATCATTTTGCATTTATATTAAGTTTTAGTTATTGCACAAATAGCCACTTTGGTATTTTTAGGATACAATTGCAATTACTTTGCGATTATAGCCTATGCATGCATTATTACATTATTTTTTATCGGACAATAGCCGTTTATATTTTCTAAATATAAGTAATTACTTTAAAACATTTTTATGCATGAAAAGCATTTTTTTATAATTTATTAACCATTTTTAAAAATTATTTTAGCAATTAATTACGTATTTAACAAATAGCCTCTTTTTCATTTAAAACCTAGCCTCCCAAACTCCTTATAAACTAGCCCAGGCCCAATACCCACCTGTCCCAACCCAATACTCAGGCAAATCTTGGTTGTTGATCATTGTGATCAACGGTCCAGATTCCCCCTTCCTAAAATAAACTAACATATACCCCCAAACCCTAATCATTCTAACACCCTCCCCCGTCGTCACCTAATTCCCTCTTTTCTCAAATGCTCTCAAGACTAAACCCTAATCCACCCTCATTGGCACTCATCTATGGCCATCCATGGTGGTTTCTCACCACCCTCAGACCTCTAATGGCTTCTCCTATACTGGTATCACCATCTCTAGGGTCCTCAAGGGACCAGGGTTAGTCTACTTGCATCTATATCCCTTTCTCGCCTGTTCCAAGCTGTTCCGGTTTGATTCGGAGTAATGTCTTCCTATATCGCCTTAGATCTATAGATTTCTAAGCTTATTTTTTCACCTCTATGTTGTTCTTCTCGAAACCCTAATTTTTGTCCTTTGAACTTCTCAGATCTGTGCAAGATCTGAGATAGATCAAACCTTTCGTATGAGTTTTACAAGAACCTTCTGATTTTTACAAGAACCCTCTGATTTTCAAAAAAAAATCTATTTTTCTAAACTAGGGTTTCCCGACAATTTCTTTTTTCCAAAACATTTGATAATTTTGAGTGTTTAATCTTCTATTTCTTATGTGTTTTAACCGAATTCGTAAGGTTTGCTCTAACCCTAACTCGTTTATGCTAAAACCCTAAATTTCCGACATGTTTGTTTGGTTTCTGAGTTACTTGTGTACTGACTTTGTCCTTGCTTTGGTTCTTGTCATTTTTTTAGCCAATTAGATGTCTTGTGATTTTTTATCCTACTATGCCCCTACTAAGTTCTTGGTTCAACTTTTCTACAGATTCTACATGTCTATGTTCATTCTGGCTATTCATGGTAAACCTACATTTTTCTCCTTAAATCAGGGTTATTTTGAATTTTGATTTACCAATTTGCTTCGTTAAAACCTATAGGTTGAGTCCTGGCTATTCCTTCCTTGCCTATTTGAATTGTCTGCGATATTTGCTAACTCTTTACATGATTTTCTCTTTTAATTAAACCCTTGACTATTCTGAAGTTCTTATTTTTGGTTTGATTTGAACTAGTTTCTTTAACAAAATCTTTGATTCTTACTTCTCTACTTGGTTTGATTGAACTTCTTGCCTCAATTAGTTTTCTCTTGTCTTATTTGAATCAACGATATTAGTTGCTGATTCTTACTAGTTGTTTCCTTAATTGAACTCCTGTTCATTCACCCCTAATTACCTACTATGTACCCAAGTCTTACTTGATTTCCTTCCTTAAATATCTGTCCTGCTTTTACCGTGAGTGATTATCCCTTGATTAAGAGGAAGACTTTACTGATTTCACGTATGTGACTGATTCTATGAATTTCTCTAATTGCTACATAATTGATTCTTTACCTTATTTTGTTTAACTCTTGATTACTATATATGCCCTTACCTATTCTCACTTCTAGACACGAACAATATTTTAGAAACTACCATTTTACACTCTAAAAAAGGCTCTCTCTGCTACTTATGATCTCTGTTATTCTAGCTGGCTGAATGCCAAGGCTGGAAATTGCACAATACCTTTCTCACATCTTGTGTTTTCTTTCTTTAACTAGGTATGCTTCTGATTAATTTTAAGAATTTAAACCTATGTGTTTATTTACTACCTTAGTTCATATGGCCTGAGTTCATTCTTGCTTCTATTTACTGCTTACCCAGCATGCCAAAAACCGCCTATTCAAATATGTGATTAGCATGTTTCCACTTTACTTGCCGTTTGCTATCTTGTTTAACATGTCTACATATGTAACTAGCCTGTTTGACTGACTACTATTTATCTAGCATGCCTAAACTCTTTTTTGTGTAATTAGCATGCCTTCACTTGTTAATACTTGCCTAGAATACCCATTTAAGTCCTTGCCTGTTCTGCCTCACTCCTGCTAAATTAGTTAATCTCCCTAGAGTGACTCTACCTGTATTGTTTAGATGTCCTCAACATGTTTCTGCTGTGATCTTTGCTACATGACCTACATTCTATCTAACTTACTGGTTCTATAAAACCCCTTAAGAACTCTATGCATCATGTTGTTTATGTGCTCCATTAAGGAGTATTCTTTGTATTCCCAACCCTTCTTTCCTTGTGTGAAAGTTGTTTGCCAAAGTACTTCCTAAAGATTGTTTGTTCTATCACTGGTGTTCTGATTGCAGATTGTTTTCCTACTTTCCTCAAACTGTTTTATCACTAAATCAGTACTGGTTTTCAGAAATTCTTTTCACTCCTAAGACCTTCTTTATACTATCTATTAAACTCTTTCAAACCATTATGCACTTTCACTTACTCCTAGATTATTAAGTCATGCCCCTCTAGTATATGTACTGCTTAGAGACCCTTGAGATCTCTCTGAACTATGGCATATCAGGGCTGGCACTTCCACACTCCACATAAATAAGTTATTATTTAAGAAAGGTCTAGGTGTGAGCACTGCCCGGGATCCTTGAGGTCCTTAGGGAACTCTGACACACCTAGACATGAAATTGGCTATGGAACTTTGGGCATTTGAGGCTACTGGAGGCTTGAAAATCACTTTGGGCCTACTTCAGGATCCCTATAGCTTAATTTCTTCTCTATTTATGTAATTTTTATCCAATCATTGGTCTGTAATAATTAATTGTAAATAAATATTGGGGTGACTAGTGAAAAGGGAGGGTAGTTGTATATTGTGAGTAAAGTTGGGTAGATAACATGCCTATAGGGTCCATTTCGATTCAAATGTGTTTGTTAGATAACATGCCTATAGGTTCCATTTCGATTCAACTGTGTTTGTTAGATAATATGCCTATAGGATCTGCTTTGGTTTAAATAAGTTCTGATTGCTTTACCTTTTTTACATAATTAGAAGTCATGCCTATAGAGTCTGAAATCAGCTTAATTGTAGAAATCATGCCTATAGGATCTAAAATCAATTTATAGAAATCATGCCTATAGGATCTAAAAAAAATCAGTTTTAGTTAGATCTAAAATCAGCTTAACTTTAACTCATGCTTGTGGTTTCTGAATCAGTTTGATTAATTAATCTACTCATTTCTTTACACTGCATTAAATAATATTACTAGAAAGCATGTCTATAGGATCCAAATTACCTGTTTAAAATTGCTTACTGATTTACTGTATTCCTGATTAATGATTAGATACCATGCTCATAGGATATCACTGTTATACGCCTAGGCAAGCCTATAGGGCGATTAAAAATCCTGCAACTGTAAAACTATGTTCTGTTTTCTATGATTGCTCATATTCAACAGATCTAAAATTAGTAGGCAAGCTGGATTGGTCTTTGACACTTTGGTCCAGACTTAATATTGTATATTCTCTGCTCACCTAGATATTATGTTCTAGAGTTCCTCTTAAATATCTCAAAAATGTTGTTTGAGACGTGCACTTACTTGTTCTGCTTGTGGAGGTAAAATGTGAGCCTTTAATTGTTCCCTCTTTAAATGCAGTCCTAATTGTTTTGGTTGACATCTAGATTTTTTCTTTTAAAATATCTTAGGATGGTATAGAACTACCTAAATTAGAGGTCCTAAATACCTTCAGGGTCACAAGGAAGGGACGGGTAGTGCAGTGCACGCATAGGATATCTTTCAAGGTTGCTAGAACGCTTTAGGCTATGACCAAAGGGAGGAAATTGAGTAGTAAAGATATGATGACTATGCGTTAATGTCGCGTGTAGCCCCTCATTGAGGAGTGATTACGGGGCATTGTATGGGTATGATCCTGTAGGCTAACCAACCTAGGACCCCTCTTTCCCAACTCCCGTTGTTTAAATGAATTTACTTTTCTTTACGTATGTGCAAATTAAATTGTTCAAACATTTTCCTTTGTTTTCATCACTTGAATCATACATGTACTTAGAATGTCAAAACATGCCTTTATTTGCGAGTATGTGTTAAAACTGTTTATTTGTTAAAATGAATAATTCACATAGTTTAAGTTCGGCCAGGACCCACCGTTATGGACCGCGAGGGGTGCCTAACACCTTCCCCTCAAGGTTATTTCGGGCTCTTACCCTAATCTCTGGTAATGCAAACTAGTTCATGAGTTAATCGCTCTACGTTCCCTAACGCACCATGATCCGTTAGGTGGCGACTCTTCAAATACCCAATTCTCAAAAGGAAACGAGTTATTCTCCATGAACATCGAAACCGGACTCCCGCAAAAGGGAAAAAAGAGAGCGCGACAATTACTTGTCGACCACACATACTTGCGTGTGCGTTTGGGAGCAATAGTAGTCTCTCTTTTCAATTCTAAGTGGACTGTCAATATAGAATATTTCACTGTCATATCTTCTGTTGCCAAAAGATATAAAAGGCAGCCTGCCTGATTCGCCAAAGAGTAAAATTCGTTTTGCTTGTCCAGAAACTAAGAAAGCTAAGGGATTATGCTTTTGAGATATGGATATGCCTTTAATCCAAACTTGACCAAAGAGACACTTTAGTCGCTTGAAAGTGCAAAAGAACAAGTGAGAAGATGGTGTACTATAATAATTAATAGTCTATTTAACAATGACAAGTTGTGTTACAAACTTGACCAAAGAGACGCAAAGTCTAGACTCTGGAGTGACTCCTTACATTTTCACTTTGGCAATTAGGACTCAAGCACAACACAGTTTATTCCACTACAATATAATAACAAGGTACCGTTATTCCTTAAAACACCATATAGTTTTAGACAAACTGCTGTTGTTTGTATGTAGGGCCTAATTAATGACCACAAGTGCAGTTCACACAGCTGCAGCTACTGCCGCACTTGCATTTGCTATCATGTTCTGCTGCTCCAGCGTTCATCACGATGCTCTCGCTGTAGCTGCAAGAGAAAGATAAAAGAAAAAGCTATCATAATTATTATTTTCTTTTCTTTCTCTTAGGATGTCCGAAATAAATCACTAATTTCGGTATTACAAGCAGAGCATGTTCCGTTCCCCTGTATCATGATATGGAAATTATGATATATAGACCTATGATTTTTTTCTTCTTTTGGTCTATCGAAAACAGCCTTTCTGGTTGTACAAAGTAGGGTAAGGCTGCCTACACAGTAGTACCCTTCTTAGGCATCAATTGCGGGATTATAATGCGTATGTTATTTTTTTCTTTTAGACCTATAACTTTTTTCTTTGGTTGAAAAGAAATGAATCAAAATATAGGTGACTACTTGCATGATATATATACACACACACTAGAAAAACATGAATTATCGACTGACATATTTCGTCGCTAAACAGTAAAATTCTAATCCTAGTTAGCTAAGGATTAGCGAGAGATCACCATTAGCTAGGAGCTGTTTAGCGACATACTAACGACAAAGTTCTTAGCGAATTCATGCTTTTCTAGTATATATATGGACCAGATCTTCATTTGCATCGTGTCATCCTTAAGCAGGGATTATGTAATTTTTTTTGTGTCGTTCCAATTTTATCTAATGTCCTTTCGGGACGCATGAGATATATATAACAATTAGATGAAAAGAGGAGCTGGTAGGAGAGAGTTACCTCTTCTCAGTTTCGACAATTTCGAGATTATACTGGTTTTCCTTCTTCCTGCAATATTTACAGACATATTGCTATATATCAATATAAGCCAAAAGGCAAGTATTTCTAATGTGCCATATCTTCGAGACATTAGTAAAAGAGAATAATTATCTCTTGATCAATGGGGGACGTAAAGATTTGACATTGAATGGCACTACATTATTTTCGACTTGAATTGTGCATAGTAAAATTAAGATTTTCAAAATATATAATTATATAGATTGACATGTGATAGTATTTCGCACCAAAGGAAGCTCCTGTTATGGGTGAGTCAGGGAAGGCCCGGACCATATTAGATTCTATGTCCGCAGCCTTACCTTGCATTAGTTCACACCAATCAATCTATAATCTTAAATCCACCGCTATCTATTTTGAAAGAAAAGGTTGTTTTTCTTAGACATGATAAACGTAAACTCAACTAATATTTGAAGTAAAAAGATGATAATTACTTACACACACTGGCTGGCGCTAGAGCAGTCGCAGTTGCCACACTTGTCCGACATGGTTAGGAGATTAAAGCTAAGAATAAGATTGAAATAGAGTTTTACTTAAATAGGAGAAAGTGTCAGTTGTAAATTTTCTATTGCTTGAATCGAAACTATGAGATTGGGCTGCTATTTATAGAGGGAAAGTTGGAAAAAGGAATCTTAAAAACGGAAGGGGCTAAGGCTTGGTTTTTTATCATCCTTTCGTGTCACCTTCATGTTGTGCATATTCCTTTCCATGATCAAATTCAGTACTCAAAAGACTAGTGATTCTTTTTAGATAGAATTTAATTTATATACCTTGTCAGTATAAGTAATTTCTAGGGAAAGGACCAACAAATGCCCCTCAACTATGAGAGATAGAGTAAATTTACACTTATTTTGAATTTGGTACCAAACATGTCCTTATCATTAGTGACTGGTTCGATCCCTTAACTATGGGAAAAAGAACAAAAATGCCCTCCATTTAATTTTGGTCTCAAATTTACCCTTATCTTGAGAGGATTGGCTCGTATCC